CCGCGCCCTGATCTGGTTCCCGTGTTGGTCCAGCGCATCTACCACGCGGCCCGGTTAGGGGGCACTTTTGATTAAGTCTACCGTGTGACAGACAGCAGGGGGAAGGGGGGCGTAGCAGTCATTTAATATTGGTATCCTACTAGCACTACACCTACGACACTCACTCTTACCTCACCCTCCCGGACTCAGTGTCTATAACATCGGGGGTGGGGGGGCGCCGTTAGACGCAGGTGGCTAGCGGAGCGTAAGCTTGCGCCTAATCGTGTCACCACACGTTTAGTGTGCGGCCGTTTTTATGGGCATGCATTTTGAATAATGTCTATCGTGGTCTGATCAGATTTCCGTGTGTGTTCAACGCATCAACCACATGACGGGTTGTAACGGCCAATGCAGCATAGGCAAATAGACAGGCCGCCTGTAAAACATGTCCATTAGACAACACATAGGCTTGCTCCAAAACCACCAGTCTGAATATACCTTGGACAGGACTTATTGCTGTAAATATATGTTCTGGTCTTTCCAGTGCCTCTGCCGTCGTGGGAAACAACACGGGATTTCCTGCAAAATAAAATTCTCATTGTGGTGCTTTCTGTAATCTTCTATCAATCGGCATTTGGCCTTATGACCGTAGAACACACGCACTGCTTGCAAACTATACGTCTGCAGTAACGGAAACCGAGAGTTAAGTTATAAGTCCACAAGTAGTCGACCAGGTCCCAGAATAAGTGACCTGAAAAGACGTAGAGGTGATCGCTGGGCCTAGAACTTGGTGTTTCGGATTTACGCTTGAACCCATCCTCGGAGACAGCAGCACATACAGTTAATTCATGTGCATCGAATGGCAGTATTTAAAGAATAATATCAGTATGCTCCGCCTACCTGTAACAATTAAAAGTTCTCTTGTTCGAATCTCAGGAGACGACACCCCTAGGATTGTGTGTGACTGGTTGGTAGCGATTAAAAAGTCAGAAATGGCCACTCTGGTTTCCCTTATCTTTGTCACTTCCACTTGCTCATATATTTCAAGTCGTTGTGACTGCCTGCGAGGGCTCTACATTGAGCTCCAAAGCCAAACAGGACGAGCCTGTTCCGTAACCAGATCGGTGACAGCCCTAGTATTCAGCATACAACTATTCATGCCTTTACTACTTTAGTAGCTATTTACGCCTTCTTCAAAGTTTAATTGCACAAATGTGCATTTTGCGCTTTCTAATTATGGGCGGTTTAAGGACCGTAAAATGCCCAGTTCTACAGAATCTTATCTATCATTTTATTAATGCTGCCTATAAAGACTGAAACACTGTTCACATACATTTCAGTATTTTATGAGTGCTATGCGTACTTGTTTCAACAGCGAGAGAAGCGTGCGATCTTCTCTAGGCATCATATATGCAACGTGTTATTTGAAGACCGTGTAAAAGTATATTGGGTTTTCATTTATTCGCCAAATGAGAAGTTTATTTAAACCACGAAAAGCCCGTTATTTACGTGAATAGTTTAAAGAAAACGTACTCAGCTATTAAATGAGTACCGGAAAGAATTTATGCGCACTTATTCTATGGGGACATCAAAAATGTATGTAAAACCATCGTACTGATTAAGCAATCATTAAATTCCGACACTAAGGTTTAAGTGGCGGCCGGCAAGCAGCTCGTTTAAAAAGAGGCAGCCTATCATGGACGAAAGACCTCGAGAGTAGGCTGTCACTTGTCAGACTGTGGGTTGACACTTCATGATATCAAAAATCTTTCGATTAGTACTATATATGTCTCAGTCTGTTTATTAGGCTTGGACTCCCGATACTTTCCCCGAATATCAGATTGCTCTGAGGCACATTTCAGGGAAAAACCTGTTCTCACATCATACAATTCTAGAAGTATCTCTAAAACTAATTCGGGGTCCTCGTGATCTTAGCATACGTCAGCCTCTTAATACCGTGTCACTTAGCCTCCCGTCCCAACATTACTTTAAGTGCACTTTTAGTGGGTTTTCGTCTAGCCGTTGGCAAACAC